CTTCACTGAGTGATGGAGTCTGTCCTTGGTTCAGATGCAGAGTTGTAAGTAAAAGGCCTGTGTATGGAATAGATGCAAAACGTGGTAGCAGTGGAGAGGAAAATCCAACTCTGGTGTGGTAATTAACAATGACGGTGTTCAGTCTCCCAGGTCTGCATTTGCTTTATGTTTAAAAACCCCTTTAATTCATTTAAATTAGTGCTACATATAAGTAATTTAAATTTTCACAGGAAGCCACATTGCTTGACCACTGATTTTCCATGTGCAGTTGATTAAACATTCAGGAGATATCAAAAATGCGCATGCAAATACCACTTACATGTGATTTCATGTCCATGTGGGGAAAGAGATTGTGCATTAAGTCGCATGTGTGAAATCACAGATCATTTTGAGGCTAGTTTGTAGAACAAAACTGGTCACAGAAGAACACAGTGTTTGTAAACTCCAATATTTCAAGTCAATGAGGAGAAACAGTGGACCAGGTTTTTCCTTTTGTTTTTTAGACTCTGTTTGCGTGTACTTTAAACAAACAAATGTGTCTGGGTGTCAGCACAAGTCTACAGAACTTTGCTGCTTCTTAGGGCTGTAGTATAACCTCTCTGGCTCCATCCTTCATTAACAATTGCTTAGAGCAGTGGGGACCATGCCTAGAACAGGGAAATGATAGTACTGAAATAGGGTTAAGAAAATGAATTCTTTTTTGGCCTGCAGGCAGGAGTAGAATCGAGAGGGGGTTTCCTAAGATGCCATTGCCAAGCAAAAACTGGTACAGAACTGCACAGTGACCACGGTTCTTTTTCCCATCAATGATGTGGCAAAGTAGTTATGCTGATTTGAACAAATGAAAGGGAAACAAAGAATGAAGGTGCGGCAACAAAAATCTTTTCTGGGACAACAATCAAATATATATTTGGGGTTTTTATTTTTTTAAGTTAAGAATGAAATGTAAAACAATGTAAAAAAACAAAAAGCAAAGTTCATCCTAATATAATGTGCGTCTTGTATTGCTAAAAAAAAGCCAAGTCTAACATGCGGTGTAGAATGATTTTCCCATCATGTACTGCATGCAGCAGAAGCCTCTTGTTTCTTGATAAAAAGAGCTGAAAGACAGTCAGCAGATATTTAAACAATGAATCTCTAGATGTTGACTTGCTGTTCCATATGAAGCTGTGTGTTTTCTGCAGTTAAGCATGCATTTTGCTGTTCCGTTGTAAAATACCATCGCACTTCTTGCCTGCAAAATGGATTATTGTGTATATATTTAAAAGAAAAGTGGAACCAATAACAAGATCAAATTTGGGAGAGAGAAAAGGGGGCGGTGAAAACGGGACCAGTGGGGGGAATAGAGAATTCTCTAAATTGTACATAGTGTGTAAATTAGCATTACTCTACGTCTGCAGTCACTCTGAGGTTGCCTATTTCCTGCTAGGAACTTAAATCAGCTTTGAGTTGTATTAAACTGTTAGAATTAGGTCTTGAATGCAGACTCTTAGAGACTTCAAAAACCATTATGCTTACAAGAAGCTTCTGTTCTGGGGAGGCTTGAGACCCCTTTTGTAACTCTGGGGAAGAAAGGAGTGCTTTCATTTTAATATGCATTCTGTTTGTAAGTAGTAACAGACCCTATTGATGTAAAACTATAACTGTGGTCATGTGGAGAAATCAAATAAATCATTTAAAACTCTTTGTTTCTCATTTTGTATAATCCAAGAACTTCAACTCTTCCGACCCAAAATGAAGGAAATTCCTTCCAATTGTGTGTCCTGGCCCCACTGAGTCAATGGCATTGCTACTGCGCCCTGCAGAGGGGTCATGCTTTCAGTCTGTGTCTTAAATTAAAGATAAGTTGGTGGGAATAGTGGTCAGTACTGTGGAGACTGTGATCCCCTCTCAACAGGCTTTGGTTGGTTTGGTGGTACTGTAGATGTATTTAGTTCCAAAGTACAATAAAGAGTAATAAATACATCACCTAGATCTGCAGACAGTGAGAGGTACCACTAAAGGGACTTGTTGGTGCCCTACTTAGCAAAGCATTCCAGTGTTGCAAACCAGTAACCACATTTTGAGTCTTCTTTAGTACGAGCTGTCCATCATGCTCCACTGATCCCATTCACCCTCTGGCTGTCCGCTGCCTCAGGAGCAGTGGACAGCCTGCACTGGACTCAGGTGTTCTCAGCTTATCCTTCCCATGGGCACAGTCCTTTGCCCAAGTGTGACCCACACTCTTTGGATTGAGCTGTGAGTATTCACTGCTTCTGCACATCCATTGGCAGGGAGCCGGCACCATACCTCTATAAGTGATGTACCTGCATGAGTACTACCCCGTTACTACTTGTGCCTGCATTTAGTGGTGTGTCTTGATTTATACCACAGAAGGATCGCTATGCAGGCGTATTTGCCACATGCGGCCTTCACAATGTTTGATGTTAGGCTGCTGCAATCACTTTGGGTAATAACCTGTGACATACTTGATTGCGTTCTTTTTGTACATTTCCCAAATTTCAGGGGGATTATAGTGTGTCTGCAAAGACTGTTGAAACTAATGCTTAGCTGTCAATTTAAACTAAACACGGTGTGTGCCTGTTTGTTCTATGAATTTTAGGAGGTTCTGGAATTATTTTGTGGGAAGTCAGCCATGACCTATTTCCAAATAGCTGTCATTTCAGGATGCACATCTCCATCAAAGATTTTTTGGTAGGTAAGTACCCATTTATCACTTCCAGTATGACATCCCTCTGAGCTTTGCAGCCCACTAGAAGATGACCAATGCCTCCCAGGAGCATTGTTAGTGAAAATAACAGGATTTGCAGTGATGTTCTTTACTGGTTACTTCTATTCTTGGTTTAGAAGCTATGATTTTTGGATGGAAGAGAGGGATTTTTCATCAGAGACTAGCGATAGGACGGGGTGATGGGTGTAAACAGGGGAAGTTCAGGTTAGGTACAAGAAAGAAGTTCTTTACTGTGAGGGTGATGAGACACTGGAACAGGCTGCCCAAAGAGGTGGTGAATGCCCCACCCCTGTCAATGTTCAAGGCCAGGTTGGGCAGAGCCTTGGGGACATGATCTAGTGTGAAGCGTCCTTGCCTGTTGCAGAGGGTTGGAACTGGGTGATCTTAAGGTCCTTTCCAACCCCAAACCAGCCTGTGATTTTAAGAATTCGGATACATTTACATTTTGAGAAGGCAAAGAGTCTGTCTCCTCTAATTTAACTCATGGAGCCTGTAAATGTTGTTACAAATCTGTTCGGTTTTGTGTTTTGGAGGGTTTTTCCCTGATTCATTTGAATAGTAGGACCTAAATAATATGTCTAAATGCTGCTGCTTTCTACCTAAACTCAGACTAGGTTGAAAGCATTCATGGCACAACTGCAGAGAAATAGGCAAAGGAAGCTCAGCAGCAGCTGTGGCTTGTGTGATAGATTTGCACCGGTTGCAGCAATGCCAAGTAACTTCACTGAAAAATTCAGGGTGTGTTAAACATCACGGTCTCACAGCTCACAGTTGTTGATGGGGGGGAATGTTAAATCTTAATATCCCTATTTGGTTGAGATGCTCATCTTAATGGAGTTGCATTCCCTAAGTCTCTGCTAAAGCCTGCGTACATATGTAGTGAAAAATGCCAGTATTTAACAAGTTATGTTGCCTTCTCACTTAGGACAGGCAATCCTACCCTTGCACGAAGAAAAAGGTCAAGGTTTGCTGCCATAAATTATAACTGAAAAACACATATTTTGCAAGTCAGAAGCTGAATGTCTTAAAACTTTCCCTAAACCCTATCCCACGTTTGTGCATTTCAGGTGTTTGCCTGCACGATGGATCAGTACACACAGGAATTGCATGGATCAGGTGTTGTGCAGTGCAAGTTACTGCAAGCTCATCTATATAGCATCTTTTTTCAGAGGGGGTTGCTTTCCAGGTATTTCTGTATTCTTCTGGTTGAACTAAAGAAATGCAATATTGAAATGACAGGAAACCAAACTAAAGACCTTCCTACGTTTTACTTCTGAACTGTGTTTCATCTGCATCTCTTTTCAGGTTCTGGCTGACAAAACAACCTCATGAATTCGATTTAACCTTTCTAGGATTGTGGGCTATTTCAGCACATGTATGTACTGGCAGACGTATTTACGTAAAGATGAACAGTGTACTTACAGTAACATGCCATGATAAATCTTTATTAACATTTTATTTATTAAGTAAGTCTTATAGCTGCATTGCACCTCTGTCAAGAGGAAACACACAGGATTTGTAACCTACTTACTGAGTGATTTATGCTGCTATATTTTGTTGATAGAAAATTCCTGGAGGAGAACATAGCACAGCTAATTTGATAGAAATAATTAGAATAGACAAATGATGGGGAAAATGCTTCATTTTAGGTGTATTTTTAGTAGACTTTCTTTTTGTTTCATATTATTTCCAGAATTAAGGCCAAATCCTGTGTTACTTGACAAAACTAAATCAACTGCAGGATAAGGCTGATGATGAATGCTGGGAAATGCTTAAATTAAGATCTCTGCTTGAAGTACTTCCTAAGCTAAATGAGACTTAATGAAAGTTGTGTGGGTGATGCTGACTTGAAACTATCCCTTTGGAACTGGTTAGATTTATTTTTTTTACCACACATATAAATGCATATTTTTAGGGATAAAATGTTATGAAAAAAATCCCCTTCATTTAGCATTTTTGCAGGAACTGAGATGTGAAATTAGCCTCATGGTTCACAAGCCACAGCCAGCTCAAACAAATCACACAAGCACACAATTTATCAGCTCCGCTGGAAAATGACATGCACAACTTCAGCTTTCATTTACTCCTTCAGATTTAGATATAGTGATTTCAACAGGTAAATATAATGAGCAAGGAAAAAATAATCTGTCTTTAATAAGATGAATGGGGTGAATTCATTCTGACGCAAATGAAATGTTCTGCATGCAGTGAAAAACGCTTCCTCTCTACAGCTTCTCATTTCTGCTACACAATAATACATTAGCAAATGTTTGACAAAGCAATGGGCTTTATTTGTGTAGGGAAATGGAAAAAGGAAGGCCTGTGCAGGTGTGCTGGGTCAGGAGGCTGTTATTCAGCAACAGTGAACCAAAGCTGGAAATTAATTCATTCAGTCATTACAGATTTATGTTTTTTGATGAGGAAACAATCTGACTTTCAAATACGGGTTTCATCACATTTGGACCCAGCTGGGCTAAGTGAGCCCTTCCCCTGTACATGATCCTTGGACAGGAGCATATCCGTCCCGTGGCTGTGCAGCCCAGCAGCTCTCTCCCTCCAGAGGTGCATTTCCCTCCTCCATAAGCTCACCACATGCTCGTGACTGATTGTTATTTTCCTTTTACTGACTAATAGTCCTTTATATCCATCTCCAGCAACAGTGATCATCATCATTATTTAATGATTCATCCTATAGATTTTCTTTTCCATCTTTCTGGTGATGCTGTGGCTCTGCTTCTGCATCACCTAAACCCAGGCTCCAAAAATGCCATTTCTATAATTAAAACCACAAAATCAACCAACTAAACAAAACTACACACACAAAAATCAACCACAACCACAATGGCCATAGTGCAAGGCCAGGCTGGATGGAGCTTGGAGCAAGCTGCTGTAGTGGAAGGTGTCCCTGCCCATGGCAGGGGCTGGCACTGGATGAGCTTTAAGGTCCCTTCAACCCAAACCAGTCTGGGATTCTATGATTCTGTGGTAGTCAGAGATACTTCTGTCATGCTTCAGAAGTTGAGTTTAGAAGAGCAGTGACAAGAAGCAACATTTTCTAGCCCAATAAGAAATGTGTACCAAGTGCTCTGGGTAGGAGTTAAAGCATCCCAGGTGTTTGTTTATACCCCTGAATTTTCACAGCATTTCAGTGATTTTTGAGTGTCTTTGATTATAAGCAAACTCTTCTGCTATAGCAATTTGTAAGTTTTCAAACTAGTTTGCAGGTATTTTATACCTGGAGTATTTCGTGACCCTGCTAACATACCTGCAAACTGCCAGCATAGCTTCATGCAGAAAAGGTAGCTGTGTATTAGCAATGAAGCACAGGGGAGGTAGCCTGGACAATCCCTCTGGCTGTGTGGATCTGAAATATCACAGAGAAGCTGGTGAAAAAGCCCTTGTGTTTCGTGTCATCTGTTTCTCTTTCCATGTATGAGAGGGGAGAAACAGATTCCTCATCTGAGATAAAGCAAATTACTGAGATCATGGGGCTCCTTCCTGCTCCTAACATCAGAGTACAATAAAATATATTTTGGCAAAGAGGCTCAGGACCCATCTCCTCCCTCTATTCATTCACACTGTGCAGTTACTGCAAGGTCTCTTCATGGCTGCCCTTGTTCCCTCACTTACCACTGTCATCTGTGTGTGATACAAACCTGTGCTCTCCAGCCTGCTGCTCTTCACCCATAGCTCTGCCTGCAGAGTTCAGGTTATCTCCTTCACAGAGCAAGATTTACACCTGGTCTCAGTGCAGAGTTTGGCCGATTTTCTGTCTCTTGAAAAAACAAATCTTATTCGGCTGTAAAGAAAAAACTATAAAAATTATACATTTATAATTAGAAACAGAATACGTCAATTAAACACTCAAAACCAAGAGGTAATTTAGTGCTTCATGTCAATCTAACATGACAGATCTAACAGGCAGTTTGCCTATCAGTGCCACCACACCTTGTGAGGAACCCCTTTCACTAACAGTTGTCCTTTCTTTAGCAGGTACTTCTTACAGTAGCCGCAGCCTGGTAGTTCTGGACACACAGCAGCTTGGATAGATCTGTCCGTGTTAACAGCCGTGCTTCAAACACAGGATTCCACAGCGTGTGACCAGGAGCAGAAGTGGAAATACCAGTTCCTGCTCTCAAGGTTTAATTTGTAAGCCAAATTCACTTACAATATTCAGAGGCAGGAGAGGTGATGCGATGAGCACATCACCACATGCCCATGGGGAAGACGATGATGAATTTCAAGTGCAAAACTTTCCTTCCAGGTGTCTCATTGAAAAGGACAGAACAACAATGCATAAAGGGAGGAGAGGCTACGACAGGAATTGTATGTGTTTTCCTGGAAGCACTGCAAAGACCAGTGAATAATTTTTACAAAGTGATTTAGACCTGCAGTGGCACTTCTTCAGGAAGTAAAACATCCATGACTCCAGGAGCTCAGTATTACCAGGTGTTTCTATTACTGAATACCAGTTTTTAAGCAGCTGCTGAAAAATACAGTAGAGTAAAAAGGAAAGGAAAACCTTTGGGTAATTTCATGACAGACATGTACTGATTTGTATCCCTTTTTTGTGTTAATTCCTTCTCAAGAAAGCAATTCTGTATGGAACAGACTGAAAGGCACATCCCGGTGGCAGTCATGTTGATGGCAAAATGTGAGTTAAGAAGAGCTCTCTAACAGCTGAGGGATTAGGTGGTCCAGGAAAGTAGTGAAGAGTGACCTACTGATTTCAGAGGAAGCTGGAATGATACGAATGTGTGGATGAATAGCTGAGTGGCAGGATAGCAGAGATGAGCTGTAAATAAAAGTGGGGAAAGAAAACGTTTGGGCATGTTTCTGAAGCAGAAGGCCAAAAATGCAGTATTTTTTTACTGTGCAGGTCTGTGCAGTGCACTCTGGAGATGTCTATAGGTCAGAACAGTGGAATTCACTGTTAGTGAAGGCTGCAGAGAACGGCAGCTGCCAGGAGAGTGCTTTCAACTGTAGTCACATACAACATTAGGAAGAGTATGGGACAAAATAAGTGGTGTGATACCATTTATGTCAGCACAGAAACAAACAGGATGCTTTGCAAGTGAGTATCTGCTTGTAATTTCCTGCTGTGGATATGCTGTCCTCCGCAGTGATTTATCCTGCAGTTGGAAAAAAAAAAAACAGGTATTTCTTTAGGATATGCTCACAATCCCATTCTCATGCTTAGTGAATGAATGCACAGGGTGGAGTGTGCTGGCTGCTCTTTCAGTTCTTTTGAACACCCTGATGAGGCATCTTTTTCCTGCTGTTTCCTAACTGCCTAGCCCTGTTTTCACTGTTGGGATCATTTTCTTCAAGCACTCTTTCAATGTGTGCTTTCTTTGTTTCTTCAGAGTTGCCAGATCATCCCCTTTGCGCTGACCAGAACCCGTCTGACTTGTCTCAGTACAGAGCGGCCCCAGATTGAGCACAGTTAGTCTGGAGAGGATGTCCTGGACCCACAGCTATTCTCCTGAGCCCAGAAGAGGTCTTACCTACCACATCTCTGTCCAAACGGGGATGTGGCACTGGTGGAGCATCACCATCTCTTCAGCACTCGACCATTTCACCACAGTGCCAGACAGGTTCCCACCCCGTGACACCATGTGGGAAGGCTGTATGCACCCTGAACCCATTGTGTCACAAGGCAGAGCAGCAGAGCAGGCTTTTTACTCTTACTATTCATACAATCAACCTCCTAGAGATACAAGCACCCTATGGAAGTAGTAACATTACATCAGGTGATGGAGTGAACCTGCCTAGCCACCTCTCGCACGGACACGGAGCAGCGTGTTTCCTAGCAGTCTGCAGGGTTCGGAAGGAAGCTGGCACGGTTTCAGCGCTGGTTTCTGACTGAAACAAACCTTACTGCCAAAGGCACGGCAGATGAAAGCCATGGAAGGAGAAATACAACTGAACAGCCTCAGCGCAGCGCAGTGCCGGCCCCAGGTTGGGGAGGGGAGGGAGGGGTGCTCTTTTGTCTTTGGCACTTGGTTATCCCTGCAAGTGGCCGCACCAGCGAAGGGCCGTTCCGGTGAGGGCCCGGTTGGGAGGAGCTGGATTTTGATGGGCATTTGGTGGCGATGTCCATGGCCCCGGTGTGTGCACGGCAGCGCCATCAGCCACAGCGGAGCGCGGGGGAAGCCACCTCGCTCCCTGCCGGGCCGCGCTGATACTCGGGAGGGGGCTCAGGAAGCCGGCACAAAGACAACCCCCGTGCTCCAGAACGGGTCCCTGCTGGTACCAGTCACAGCATCACACAGTATCACAGTATCACACAGTATCACAGTATGCTAGAGATTGGAAGGGACCTCAAAAGATCATCTAGTGCAATCCCCCTGCCGGAGCAGGAACACCTACATAATGTTACACAGGAATGTGTCCAGGCCGGTTTTGAATGTCTCCAGGGAAGGAGACTCCACAACCTCCCTGGGCAGCCTGTTCCAGTGTTCCGTCACCCTCACTGAGAAGAAGTTTCTTCTCAAGTTTAAGTGGAACCTCTTGTGTTCCAGTTTGCACCCATTACCCCTTGTCCTATCATTGTTTGCCACTGAGTAGAGCCTGGCTCCATCCTCGTGACACTCCCCCTTTATATATTTATAGACACTTATAAGGTCACCCCTCAGTCTCCTCTTCTCCAAACTATAGAGACCCAGCTCCCTCAGTCTTTCCTCATAAGGGAGATGCTCCACTCCCTTAATCATCTTTGTTGCCCTGTGCTGGACTCTCTCCAGCAGCTCCCTGTCCTTCTTGAACTGAGGGGCCCAGAACTGGACACAATATTCCAGATGGGGTCTCACCAGGGCAGAGTAGAGGGGAAGGAGGACCTCTCTCGACCTACTGACCACCGCCCTTCTAATGCACCCCAGGATGCCATTGGCCTTCTCGGCCACAAGGGCACAGTCCCTGCGTCCCTGCTGCTCCCGCACCGACCCCGCGCTCCCGGTACCTCCCGCCCACAGCCGGGGCCCGCGGGGGCTGCCGGGAAGGGGCGCGGTCACGTGCGCGTCGCTGCCGCCGCCGTCACTGGGTCGCGCGCGGTGCGGCGCCGCCATGAGCGCTCTGGTGCTGCGCGCCCTGCGCTCCGCGCTGCCGGGCCCCGCCGCCCTCGCGCGCAACCTGCGCACGGCCCCGCCGCGGGCCGCGTTCGCCAAGGAGCTGTTCATGGGCGCCCTGCGCAAGGTGAGCGGGGCCGGGAGGGCGCGGAGCGGGGCACGGCGGGCCCGGGCACGGCTCCTCGGCGCGCTGCGGCCGCGCCCCTGCTGCCCGTTAGCGGCTGGGGGGGGGTCTCGGCCCGCGGGGGGGTGGAGGTGTGGAAAGGCCCCTAAGGTTGTGGGGTGCAGCCGTGCCCAGCGCTGCCAAGGCCACCCCTGACCCATGTCCCCAGGCCGCACGTCTCCACGCTGTGTGAGCGCTCGCAGGGACGGTGACTGCAGCCCTGCCCTGGGCAGCCTGTTCCAATGCCTGAGCACCCTCTGGGGCAGGAATTGTTCCTCAGCTCCATCTAAACCTGCCCTGGTGCAGCTTGAGGCCATTTCCTCTTGTCCCATCCCTTGTTCCTTGGGAGCAGAGCCCGGCCCCTCCTGGCTCCATCCTCCTGTCAGGCAGTTGTAGGGAGCCATCAGGTCCCCCCTGAGCCTTCTCTTCTCCATCTGAACCCCCCAGGTCCCTCAGCCGTTCCCCATCACACTTGTGCTCCAGGCCCTGCACCAGCTCCGCTGCCCTTCTCTGGCCCCGCTCCAGCACCTCAATGTCTCTCTTGGGGTGAGGGGCCCAGAGCTGAACCCAGGATTTGAGGTGCAGCCTCACCAGTGCCCAGTGCAGGGGCACAAACCCTGCCCTGGCCCTGCTGCCGCACTGGTGCTGATCCAGGCCAGGATGCTGGGGGCTTCCTGGCTGCCTGGGCACAAGCTGCTCATGTTCAGCTCCATCAATCAGCACCCCCAGCTCCTTTCCCATGAGCACTTTCCAGACGCTCTTACCCAAGCCTGGGGCACACAGGTGCATGGTGTAATTCTGAATGCTCAAGAGCAACCGGCTGGCCTTGCAAGCCTAACAAGTTCCCTACAGAAACACAAGTGTCTGTAATTAGGCTCTGGGCTTTGGAAAACTGCATTGCACAAAAATTAGGTCAATTTATCCTCTCTTTACTTCAAGGAACAAGACTTCATGGAAGGTTGTGCTTACAATTCTGTGCATTAAAGATTGGATTTCTTATTGTGTCTTGAGATGCCACTGAACAAAGCAGTAACCAATTTGAGATGAGCACTGTATTAAAACAGTACTTGTTAATCCATGGCTCGGAGTGTGCAGTCATCAGAGATTGCAGGGCTAAGTAAATTGAAAGAAGGAATAACTCAAATGGTTGAGCAGTAACAACTTCCAAAACATACCTTGTCAAGTAAAGTGTTGACAGTTGCCACTCAGATTCCATCACACTAAAATCTTTTTTCTCCCCCCTCAAATCTCAATACAACAGTTTGCTGGAAAACTGTAGCATTTACTGGATCATGAATTTTGAAGCTGACACAGTTCTTCAGCTTATCCTGAGCAGTTCTGTTTGGGCAGAGGTAGACTCTTCTATTTAAAAGGGGAAGGATGATAAAAACTAGAAGCAGAAACTCAGGTAGTGTTTCACTTGTGTGAGTTGCTTGGGTTTACTTATTCAAGCCTGTCTGGTCATACCACTTGAG